TCCATCCCAGACCTGCGCGGTGAAGTGGTAGGCCCGCAGCTTGGCCACCAGCTCGGTGGCGTCCTTGGCCGCGTTCACGGCCAGGGTCTTGGGGATGATGAGCAGCGCGTCGGCAAATTCGGCGATGGCCAGCTGCTCCCGGCTGCCCAGCGTGGTGGCAAAGTTCTCCAGGTACACGTTCAGCGCGGCCTCCACAGCGCCGCCGCCGGGGACCACCCGCCCGCTCTCCAGCACCCGCTTGACGATGCAGAAGGCGTCGTGCAGGGAGCGGTCCACCTCGTCCAGCAGGTAGTCATTGGCGCCGCGCAGCAGCACCGTCACTGCGCGCGTGTTGCGCGGCCGGCGCACCATGATCACGTCGTTGTCCGACACCGTCTCCTCCGCCACCTCCTCAGCGCTGCCCAGGTTGACTGCGTCGAACGACTCCTGCCCCTCCATGTCTGCCAGGGTCATCACGATGCTGGCCCCCGTCGCCCGGGCCACCCGCCTGGTTTTGTGTGTGTAGGGTGGGGGGGATCACAGTGGTTGAATGATGCCTGTGGGCTGGGATTTCCCCTGGAGGGTGCACACGAGGAAGAGGGTACAGAGAGCAGGGGGGCGGCAGTCGAGATGGGTGACGTGGCTGTTGGTGCAAAAAGCGGATCTGTGCAAGACCCGGACGCCATTCGCCCCACAAAGCCAAACCACCTGCCGAGGAAAGGAGGCCCCTCCCGCGATCTGGTGACATCCCATCCCACCCCTGTCACCCATCACCACGCAATCACTCCATCACCCACTTGAGGTCCTCCTTGGGCACACGGCGGCAGGCAATGGCGCCCGCCTCCACAAAGTACTTGAGGGACATGTCGTCGATGCCCTTGGTAGTCAGGATCACGTTGGCGCCTGGTGGGGTGGGGCGGGGGCCGCAGCAGTGGGGTGATGGAGGAACGGTGTGCTGGAGGGTTCAGCCCATGTCATCAACCCCGGGGGAGCCTGAGCTTGAAGTGCCAGCGCACATGATCTCACTCTCACCCACCCACCCCAGTCCCCACACCTCGCTCACATACCTGCGTCGATGATCTTCTGGATGCGCTCGCGCGTGATGTCGCTCTCGCGCTCCCGGATCTTCTCCAGCTCGGCGGGGTCGGACACCAACACCTGCACTCCCATGTGCATGCGCGCCTTCTGCAGGTTCATGTCCAGGCAGGCGATGCGGGCACCCTCCACGCGCTTGGGCATGCCCTGCAGCGTGCGTGGCGTGCGTGGTGTGAGAGCGAGGGTTGATCCATGCAAGGGAAGGGTGGTTTGACTGCAGAGCGCGGGCAGGAAGACCAGGAGGGGGAAGGCTGAGGTGGTGCAGGAGGTTCTGCTAGCCACAGGCCGCCCTTGCCCCCCTGTGGGTCCCTTTTCCCAGACCAGGAGCCGTCGTTTCGCCCCCTCCCCCACTCCCATATACACACACTCCACTCCACGACATACCTGTGCGGCCCTGCCTAGGTTCAGCGCATACCCGTCTAGGAGCTGGCTGTCCTTCAGGCTCTTGCCATGGGCCTTCAGGATGTTGATGGCGCTCACGGGGTACTTTGTCTTCCCCTGCTCGCTCGTCGTCTTCACGCTCGTCACTGCGATGTTTGGGGTTTGGGAGAATGACTGAAGGTTAAGGTGGTTGAAAGGGGAAATCAAGGCCCAGACTTGCGTGCAGCGGGGCAATGGAAGATGAATGCCATGTCGGTATGAGCATGGCCCAGACTCTGCTGCCAAAGTTACCTCAATGTATACTGGAAGGCCCAAACAAGCAATGGCAACTCCCAACCGCCCATCTCACCCACCCTCTCTCCCGTTCCCTGCTTTCTCAACCCCATTCACCACCCTTTGGCTCACCTGCCTCCACGACAATGTTGCCAAAGAAGTCTGCCTCAGATCCCACAATCTTGCTGCTCATTGCCGTACGAGCGGCGTTCAGGAGGGTGTCCTTGCCGAGCGTGTCCGTGCTGATCGCCAGGTTTTCCTCCACATACTTGCATGCCTGAGGTGGGGTGTGTGTGGGAGCATGAGCGTCAGTGCTGGGTGAGGGGCGTAAAGATGCAGGAGGCCAGCGTGAGGGGCATGCAGCCGCAGCAATGGTCCTGATGACTGCTCATGTGGCACGAAAGGGTGGGCTGCTCGAGCGTGCACCCCCATGGAGTTGGGGCATGCAAGGCACCCTCAGCTGGATATGCTCATCTCACGAGCTCATTTCTTTCCATTTTCGGCGCTCCATGCCAGCCTGAGGGACCGGACGCTGGATGCAGGCACGTACCTCTCGCATTGCCAGGCGGAAGCCGCTCAGGATGGAGGTGGGGTGGATCTTGGAGCGGACGAGGTCGTTCCCGCGCTTGAGCAGCTCCGAGGCGAAGATGACCACCGAGGTGGTCCCATCCCCCACCTCCTGATCCTGCAGATCTGCCAGGTCCACCAGGATCTGATCCAGGAGAGTGTGGGTACCAGTGTGGGTTGAGGCAGGTGGGCAGCGCCGAGGCGGCATGGCTACTGGTTGCCTGACAGTCATGCACGTATGGGGCCCGGTGCATGATACTTTCGAGCGGCCTGGCTCGAGGAGTCAGCCACTTCATCAAGGTAATCATACCCCGCATACCACCCCCCTACACATGTCGTCACCTTGGCAGCGGGGTGCTCCACCTCCAGCAGCTTGAGGATGGTGGCTCCATCATTGGAAATGGTGACATCACCGATGTCGTCCACCAGCATCTGCGCGCAGAAGGGTGACCCACACAGGGTGTGAGGCTGAGATGCGAGGTAATGGGTGGGGCTGTAGGTCCCGCTGGACCCTTAAATCACACCGGATGGTCCCCCCCCGCACCTTGTCTAGGCCGACCGGTCCCAGGCTGGACTTGAGGATATTTGCCACTGCCAGGACGGCTGTGGTATTCTGGGTACGCACATCCTGCCCACTGGTTCTATCGCCATTGATGTGCAGCTGTGGGCCGGATGCCCCAGACATCGTGGGCGGCGATGGCAGGCCTCCTGATCACCTTGCGAGCTTTGCCAGGTATCTGCCTTCCACACTCCTGGTTGCTGGATCAGAGATGTTGTATTACAGATGTACCGATTTGAGTCGTGGTGACGAGCCGGTGGGTCGCCTGCCATGTTGGCGCCATGCCCTCCCTTCGGTCAATGATTCGAGCCTCCCGCCCGAGCGCGCGAGGGGTCTCGACCCTCTGAACTGGGGATGAGGGACGCATGGAGAGTCTCTGCAGGGCACCAAGTCCGCAGATGTGACCACATATTCGGACTCGCTTCGTGGGTATCCAGCGAGGAGCTGCTTGGGCCGACCATTGTCGCACCATCGCCGGACGTGCCCACCCCCTCTGCCGACTCACCACGGCGCCGTTCTCCAGCAAGGCGCATTCTACGACAACCTCCCTGACCAGGGTTGCGGAGGATGCCCCATGCCCCATCCTCATTTTGCCGCACTCCACTCCCTGAGCATACATTCGGCGCAAGCTGCCCCCTCCCCCCCACGACCTGTGCCGGCATGCACGCCCGAGCCTTCCGGGCCGCTGCCGCGCGATTCTCCAGGGCCTTTGTGCCTGTGTGGCATGCAGGTGCGATGTCGCGGGGCATGGCTTCCCGGATTTAGGTGCCGTGATCCCTGGGGACGATCCGGATGTGGGTTGTGATTGCGTGCAGGCCTGCTCCTTCCCCATGCCAGTCGGTGCTGGCCATGGACAGAACAGGATCTGGCATGCTTAGGCGCATGCAGATGTCTGGACTCCAGGCTCGCACAGCCCGAGAGTAGCCTGAGCTGGCTCACCAAGGTGCCTCCCCCCACAACTCGTCCGCTCACCACCCTCGACCCGCATGCCGCCCCCAGGCACACGGCCCGGCACGCATGTGAGGCACGTGTCGTACCCCGCCCGCTCCCTGGACGGCACCGTTGCCGACCTGGAGTCGGCCTGGGAGCGCGAGGCCCTGCTGCGCACGCTGGGCGAGCGGCTGGCCCCCCTGCGCGCCCTGGCCCGCGCCAACGCGCTGGCCACGGCCGCGGACGCGGAGCTGGCCGCGGCGGGGCTGACGCGCGGGGCGCTGGAGGAGATCCTGCGCCTGCGCGGGCCCGGCCCCGCCGCGCTGTCGGACATCCGCCGCGCCGCGCTGAGGGCGCTGGGCGGCGAGGCCAGCCTGGTGGCCCTGGAGGGGGTCAGCTCCCAGGCGGTGGAGGTGGATGAGACGGCGGCCAGTGAGGCCGGACCGAGCGTGGCTGGGGCGGGTCGGCCCAGGACCGGAGGGCCCGGGCCGAGTGGGCCGGCCGTGAGCAGGATCACAGCGAGCGAGGCGCGGCCGGGCAGGGTGACTGCCAGCGAGGCGGAGCTGGGCGAGGCCGCCGTCGCGTCGACGCGACCCCCGCCGCACGCGTCGGCCCAGAGCGCACCCCCCCCGCCCCGCGCGGGGCAGCCGCTCGAGGAGGCGCTGGCACGCGTGGGGCTGCCGGCCTGGACGGCCGCGGAGGGCATGCACCGCCTGCGCTGCCCGCGCTGCGGCGGCGGCAGCGACGCCGAGTCCAGCCTGGTGGTGACCAGCGACGCCGGGGCGGGGACGGCTGCCTGGCTCTGCCACCGCGCGACCTGCGGGTGGTCGGGTCGGGCGGGCGGCC